ACTTTATTTAATTATTAGTTTGTGAAAGAAATAAAAAAAAAAAAAAGTAATGTTGAAGGTGATCAAGGACACGAAAAAGTGATCATGGAAACGAAAAACTCGGCTCTCGAAAATAATTAATGAACGACAAAAAGTACAGGTAAAAACAAAGAATTATTATTATTACCCGTAAAAGTATGGGTTACTGAAAATCGTTTGGAATTCTATAGTTTTATAGAATTCCGTTAAATTACGGAATTCTATAAAACAATAGAATTCCAAACGATTTTCTTTTTTTAGAAAAATCTCATTTTCACATTGAAATAAAATTGTCTTTGTTGTTAATAATGAAATAAAATTGTTTTTGTTGAAATAAAATTGTTTTAGAACAATTTTACATTATTTATTTGCTTATGAAATAAATTAAAAAAAAAAAATCCGTTAAGAAACGTTGCATGTGATCAAGGAAACGAAAAACTCCGTTCTAGAAAATATTTAATGAACGACAAAAAGTAAACGTAAAAAAAAATTCTTATTATTACCCATAAAATTATTTGATTTTGTTTTTGTTTACGAAAAGGATTTTGAAAATATCGGGGGAAAAAAAAATATTCGAATAATTATCAATTTTTTTTTTTTTTTTTTTAAATACTGCTTTTTGATAAGACAACTCTGATGTGTTTCATTGTTTTTTATTAATTATTTTTTTCGTTCTTTGGATTGTATATATTGGCACTCTGTAGGAATATTTTTTAAGAAGAGGAATATTTTTTAGGAAGAATATTTTTTAAAGGAAAAGTAGGATTTAAATTTGAGAATCTCGCATGATTTTTATGTGTGTCATTAGAAATTCGTTGCTAGTCTTTCTATTGTTGTGAAGGAAGGGGATTATGAAATAATAAAAACAATAGATTTGTTTTGAAAGTTAAGATTTGTTTTAAATACGTTCTTGGTTTCTTCGCCATTCCAATTCTTTATTTTTAATTTAAAATCGTGGGAGTCTCTCTCTCTCTCTCTTTTTTTTTTTTTTTTTTTTTTATCTGGCATTTCCTTTAAATATTGTCTTTTGGTAATTTTAATTGTGTTTAAAAACAAATAAAATAATTTGTAAATATATATATTCCTAAGTTGAATTTTAAATTTACTTAATAAATACTTTAATTTTTTTAATGCGTATTATATTCACAAAATAGATAATGATACTATAGACTAATATTATTACTATTCTAAAATATGGAGCATTAAGAATACACTTTATTAAATTAGTTTATTTTTTATAAAATTGATTTTCTGTAAAAATAATTTAAATCAAAATAATCGCCCACTTTGTATTTCTATTCTAATTTCGTATATTTCCAAATATAAACCGGTTGTATCTTCAAAAAATTTGCTCATATATATAGATCGAAATGGGCGAAAAAAAATCCTGTGGAGTTTAAAAATGATGGCGAAAATATTGCCAAGCGGGGTAAAACGAATCGAATATTTTCCGATCAAATCGCTCAAAGCGAAAAACGCCAGGTAACGACGATAGTTGTAATTCTGGTAACCCTATTACAAGCTAGCACATTGTTTCGTTCCAGTTGTTATTTTGTATAGGATCTGTGGTATCTATGCTAGTCTGATTTTCTGTGGGTTTTTTTTACCCATAAAATTATGGATGTTTTGAGTATCGGGGTTTTTCGTTTCCTTGATAATTTTTTCGTGTCCTTGATCATTTGCAACGATTCTTAATGGTTTCTTATTTTTTTAAACAACATATTCAATTGTTCTAAAAAATCATTTGGTGAAAAAAGCAACGACAATTTTATTTCAAAGTGAAAATGAGATTTTTTCAAGAAAGAAAATCCTTTGGCATTCTATATATATTTTTATTTTTTAAGATTGCTGTTATGCGATTTGTTCTTGCATTGAATTCTACATTTTATGGGTAACCTACATATCTTCCCGATTATATATATATAATTAGTTTTCTTTTTGGAAAGATAATATTGATGCCATATCAATTTATCGTTTGTGCCCTTTTAACAACAACAACAACAAAAAAAAAAACACTTTTTCTAAAAAGAAAATTAAAATTTGCATATTCTTATATGAACCGACCCCGTAATTTAACTTAGAAAATGTTCTAAAAATGCTCGTCTTACGAATGGAAATATATTATAATAGAAATTGGAGTAATCAAGATAAAATTAAAATAAATTAATAATATGTGGTTATATAATGCTATAGATTTTTTTAATGTCTACTGCATGAATTTTTTTTATTTTTGTAAGAAAAGGCTTAATTTATATATATATATATATATACACACACACTCGAGCTAAAACATTATGAACTGTCAATAACGAGTTGGCCCACATTTGGCGCGCAACGCAGCTTCAACCCGCCTTGGCATGGATTAATATCACCACTTAATACCAGTTAAATACCACTTCCACCTGATCACGTCATCCAGGCGAGTTCATTGCAAAATGTAGGGGTGGTCATAATGTTTTGGCTCTTGAATGTTATTTTTATATATTTTCCTTTTGCCTTCATAAGACATGAATTTATTGAAAATGATTTTTCAATAAAATTTTTTATATGCAATAAATGGAAGGTCAATATTATAAACAATCATGCAATTGTTTAATATAAACGCATCCTTTGGGACATTTAATAAGAATACCTTCTTTGTGTTGATATATTGAGGTTTACGTAATCAACTTTTTTTGTTGCGTTTTTTTATTATTCTGGTGCATCTTCAATACTTATCTTTGTTGCATCTGATGGTGATTATAACCCTCCCAGTAAATTTAAGCGCGATGTTGAATGATGTGAAATATCCATAACGCCATTGAATATATTTTTTTAATGATATGAGAAATTAATTACAGTCATGGTTATATTTAACTGCTATCTCCGGAGCTGTATTTGTTGTGTAGTCTAATTTTTGGCCTTGTTTATTCTTTTTCTTATGATTGACTTGTTCCGTCATTCAGTAGGCCAAGGTCATACAAGTTGGTTTTTTAACTCTTAATTCGTTTTTGTTTTTGTTTACAAAAAAAGATTTGAATGTATTGGGGGGCGGTGGATCATTTCGAATAATTATCCATTTTTTAAAAGATACTCCTGTTTGTTTAGAGATAACGATGTGTTTAGATTAATTGTAAACCTATTTAATAATTTTGTAAACTTATCCTATTCCTCTTAAATTAAGAGAACAATTTTGACTACACAGTAATTTAATTTATTTTTATTTTGTTTTATTAATATATTCTTGAACTGTTTAGTTTCCACACCAAGAAATACTGTTTCGGTACAAAATTTGTTTCGTATTTAATATTTAGTAGTAAAGTATTTTTTTAATCCACGCTAGTAGTAAATTAAGTTAATTCTAAATAACAGCCAGAATGCACAGAAGCAATAACCAGACGTATATGGTGCATGTTTATTTGAAAGCTAACTTTTTTTCCCTTTGATGTTATCAGATTCAAATTCCATTAGCATCAGAAATATTTAATAAGCTATTTGTAACGGAGATTTGCATGTGATGCTAATGTTTAAACAAGTCATCGAATTAATGCAATACACCAGGCAATCATTTATGCGAAAGTAGCAATAGTAATGAATACGAGTATTATTCATTAATTTTATATTGCATTTATGTAAATAGAATTATAAATAACAACCAGAATGAACAGAAACAATCACCTGACGTATATGGTGCATGTTTATTTGTAAGCTGACGATTTCTTTTTAATACGCTTTTATTAGCTTCACCTGTATGTATGTATGTAACTGACTTTTTCCCCTGGAGATCTGTTTCTCCTCATATGCACCATTTAAGCTGCAAAGAAACATTTACAGGCATCTTTCAGAAAGAAAACAGTTGATTCTTTTTAATACGCTTCTATATTAGTTTCACCTGAATGCTTGTTTGTTTGTTAAACTAAAAAGTAAAAAATAAATTAATAGTTTAAAAAAACTAAAAAACACGCTTTCAGAGTTAATCAAACTAAAAAGTAAAAAATTAATTAATAGTTTAAAAAACTAAAAAACACGCTTTTAGTCACGCGATGTCACTGTTCTAAAAGCGTGGGGTGCTCGATATGAATCGTTAAAACATTTTTCACTAGTTTCACTCCGAAATGCAGAGTTAGTTTAAAAATATCATATAAAGCACCCCACGTCTTTAGAACAGTGGCATCGCGTGACTAAAAGCGTGTTTTTTAGTTTTTTAAACTATTAATTAATTTTTTACTTTTTAGTTTAACTCTAAAAGCGTGTTTTTTTTATTTCCTCTGATGTTTTTGATGTTATCAGATTCAAATGCCATTAACAACAGAAATATTTAATAAGCTATTTGCAACTGAGATTTGCGTGTAATAATTTTTAAACAAGTCATCGAATAAATATAATACATCAGGCAAGCATTTATATGAAAAGCAGATATAGCAATGGATATTATTCATTTCATATTTATATTGCATTTATGAAAACAGAATTCTAAATAACGACCAGAATGAACAGAAACAATCACCCGACGTATATTTTGGATGTTTATTCGAAAGCTGACGATTTCTTTTTTCCTCTGATATTTTTTATGTTATTAGATTCAAATGCCATTAACCAGAGCAATATTTAATAAGCTATTTGTAACGGAAATTTGCATGCAATGCTAATTTATGTTGAAGTAGAGATAGTAATGGATATTATTCATTCATTATTATTGCAATATTAGCATTCATTTTGTTGTTGTTGTTTCTTATCCCACTTGGCTGGCCAAGCCCACGAGCCCATACGTACTCATGATTGAAGGGGAAGGAAGCAGCTTCTGTTGTGATGGAGCACCCGTAGGTAGAAGCCTGACTTTTGCTCCGTGACGCTCTTACAGTCATAGAAGACCGGGACCTATGGCTTAAAGTGGATTCCGAACCACTACAAACATCCATGGCACCGCCGGGATTCGAACCCGAAACCTGTGGCACCGAGCGCCAGAGCGCTAGACACTCGGCCATTCAGGTCCCAAATTTGCCAACGGCACGCGGTGTTCCCAGGTGGTCACCCACCCAAGTACTGACCGCGCCCAATGATGCTTGACTTCGGTGATCTAACGAGAACCGGGCATTCATTTTATATTAACATTATGAAAATAAAATATATAAATTCGTTATTAACATTAATTTTATATTACATTTATGTAAAAAGAATTCTAAATAACAACCAGAATGAACTAACAAGAACAATACAGCTTTCAAATAAACATGCACAATGTATATTGCGATTTCTTTTCATCCTCCGATGTTTTTGTTGTTACCAGATTCAAATGCCATTAACAACAACAAAAGAAAAAATAGTTTGTGCAACACACCGTTCTGTCTTTCGTAACCAGTTGTTCTTCCGTGTGTGGGGAAAAAAAGAAAATTTTTTCTCCCTTTTTTTTAAAAAAACTTAGCAGACGAGTTGATTCAACTTCCCCCCGGTATTGTCTCCGCTGGATGTCCCACAGACTACTACTGAATGAATGAGTGCTTCAGACCTCTTTCCGCGTTACCTGCGTTGACCTCGTCGCTTCTATCAGTGTCAAACACGTGTGATCGCCTTGTGTTGATTAGAAACAGTATTCCGGATTGATGAAAGTATTAAGATTCACTGATGTAGTGGCCATCTACTTGCAATGTCTGAATTATTAAAGTTGTATTTGATGGTTTACAGATAGAATGAATTAAATCTCTAGAATTAGAATTAAAAAAAATCTCTAGTGTATTATGCATAGTTAAATTTGTTACGGATTTTCCATAAAATGTTAATTTTCATCAGTTTTTAGCGAATTGTAAATTCTTTTATTTATGGATTTTCGGGATATTTGTAGTTGCTTATTATGCTATTAAAAACGCTTCTTTACAGATTTTCACATTTTTGCAAGATTTTCTCGATTCTCTATTTTATTAAAATTGATCCCAGATTATTATTTTTATTTTTTTTCCTGGATAGCCTAATATGCAACTCGTTTCAATGTAGATTAAATGAACGAATACAAAATGTTATCTAAAATCGTTCAAAACGATTATTTTAATAAACAAAGCTGATCCCAGGGTCCCCCCCTGATAGCCGAATATACAAGGTCGTCCAAATCACAACAATCGTCCAAAATAATTATTTTATTAAATAAAGCTGATCTAGATCCCCCCTCTCGCATAGCAATGTAGATTAAATGACCGAATATAAAATGTTGTTGGAAATTCGTTCAGAAACGAAGTAAAATGGAATAACACTAATAAAGGTTTTTCAAAAGTTGGCTCATATGGTTTTGGTTTAAGGTGCGTATTATCTTTATGGAATTAATTCTCACTACGCATGGATGTTTTGTTTTGGAATTTGGTTTGTTGAAATACTTTTTAATACGCTTTTATTAGCTTCACCTGTATGTTTGTATGTATGTATGTATGTATGTATGTAACTCACTTTTTCCCCTGGAGGTCTGTTTCTCCTCATATACACTATTTAAGCTGCAAAGAAACATTTACAGGCATCTTTCAGAAAGACAACAGTTGTTTCACCTGAATGTTTGTTTGTCTGTTAAACTAAAAAGTAAAAAATAAATTAATAGTTTAAAAAAGCTAAAAAACACGCTTTTAGAGTTTAAAAAAACTAAAAAATCACGCTTTTAGAGTTAATCAAATTAAAAAGTAAAAAATAATTGTTAACGTAAGAATAAAATGACTGACGAGAAAATGAATGTCACTGTTCTAAAAGCGTAGGGTGCTTTGAATGGAAACTAACTCTGCATTTCGGAATGAAACTAGTGAAAAATTATAACGATTGATATTGAGCACCCCACGCGTTTAGAACAGTGACATTCATTTTCTCGTCAGTAATTTTATTCTTATGTTAACAATTATTTTTTACTTTTTAGATTGATTAACTCTAAAAGCGTGATTTTTACTTTTTAGCTTTTTTAAAATATTAATTTATTTTTTCATACACCTACAAATCTTATTCTGATTTTGACTTACCCAATATTTCCTACAAGGCTAGTGATATCAAACCCGTGCTTCTTACTGTTTGTCCGTTTCTTAACCTTTGGCAAACATCATTCATTAGTAAGACTTGGACAATTTCTTTTTCAACGGAATCGGGAAAAACCCGCCCTTCCATCTTTCAATTAGGCTAACGACTGGGTGGGGACCCGAGTCCTTTATTATTTAATATTTCTGTCTACATGTCACCCAGACATAAACTACAAAAAAAATTATTAAGGATTATATATAATGCAATAGTGTTCCTCCTAGTTTTTTTTCTTCGATTTTTTTTTTTTTTTTTTTTTTTTTTTAACTAACAAAAATATATGTGTATTATTTTGGGCTGCAGGAATGTCAGTGTCATTTGACAACTTTTGATTTTGGACATTTTCACTGAAATCTATAATTTTTTAAAACAATTTCTGTCATGAGTTCTTTTTAAATTTCTTTCATGAGGTTTTTTAATTTCTACCATGAGGTCTTTGTTTTTAATTTCTTTCATGGGGTCCTTTTTTTTTTTTTTTAATTTCTTTCATGAGTTTTTTTTATACTTAATATTTATTTACAAAATAATTAAGTAATTATTAAATTTAATAAAAAGATTAATTCAAAAGAAAAATTAATGTGAAATCGTTCTTAAAAGATCGTGTGGTGAAAGCAAAGACCATTTTATTTCAAAGTGAAAAGGAGATTACTCAAGAAAATAAAATCGTTTTTAATTATATAGTTTTTTTTAAGATTGCTGTTATGCGTTTTGTTCTTACATTACATTCTAAGTTTTATGGCTAACCTATATATCGACACATCCAATTACAATTATTATTTCATACATGAATTTTTTATAATCAATTGATTTTTTTTAAATTAGAATTTTAATTAAAATTTAAACCAACAACAAATATATAAGCATCAGTTACACATAGAAATCTAGAGCAGTAATTATCAATTCCAGAACATTATCTAATTACTGAATGCTTGCCAATAATTGCGTCAGGGTGGTTTTTTTTTATCCTTGAAGAACTCTAGATTTTTCGTCCATAGCACAAAATGTGTTGCCAAACTTTTCAAGTAAACTAGATGTCTGCCACTTTTACTAGAGCTCATCTGAGCGTCTACTCGTAAATCTCTGCAAAACTTTATTTTACAACGGGATCACCACTTTAGTACGTTAGTGTCTGTAGCAGCTTCGTCTTGAATGTGTGGGCCATTCTGTTTTACTAATTAATTTTGTCCATCCCCAAATTAAATGTACGAATTTCGTTCCATTTTTCTAGTAGGACTTCGAGTTTAGTTCTAATAATTGTTATGGTCTTAGAATAAAAACACCCCTCTTTTGTTCGAAAACCAAACGAACACTCACGGTGTTAGGTTTCTTTCTCCCTCCAGTCAGCTTACGTCCACGCAGAAGGGAAGTTTACGTTATCGGGCGCTGGCTTCCACTTAGATTTTTTTTTACTATGCACGTGGAGCTATTTATCTATGAAGCAACAATAATAATAAAATGAACCCAAAGGAAAATATAGGCCCCATTGTACTATAGTACAGTGTGTAATGGATCGTCAATCTTCTAACACGGGCCTGATGGCCAATTGGCTAGTGCTCTGACCGTTGGTGCCTAGATTTCGGGTTCGAGCCCCGACGGTGACATGGATGTTTGTTGTGGTTCGGAATCCGCTGTAAACTGTAGGTCCCGGTCTGTTTTAGCCCTTGTGTGCACAAGATGACCTTAGGGCGACAAACCAAACCAATCTAACACTACTATTTTGTTGTAATAAATTGTATAAGTTTTATTAAAAATTGCATGCGGTTAAAAATAGCGAAATATTTATGTACACATTTATTATGCCATTTCATAACGATAGCAAAGAATAATATTTAAACTTTTTATTTTTATATAATGTTTGGAAAAAAGAAAATGAACAAACTAGGCTAAGTTACTTCAAAGCCCATTTACCATTCTTTCGTGCTGAACTTTCTATTTTTCTGCTTCCGTTCCTTTCTCAGACTTTTCGCCGAAGTTAAATAGTTCGGAACACCGTAAACTATCCGCGAAATCTACGTGCAGCGCTCACAGAAATTACGTGACTGTAGATAGAAGCTAAGGGATGGGGGGAGGAAAACCCTATCGCTACTACAATTCTGCGTCGGCTATATCTTCAATCTCTCTTTTTTTTTTTTAAAGCCCTACCCCCCTTCGGCTAACGAAAAAGCATCTGCCCCTAAGACTTCATCTTTATTGGAAACTGCTGTTGTAAAAAGAAAAGCCCTTTTTTCTATAAACTTTTCGCTGAAATGGCTACCAAAATACGCTAACATCTCATCCTTTTTGTTTTTTTGCAAAAGTTGGAAAAGAGAGATGGGTTGCCGTTCGAGTGTGTGAAATCGAGGTGCGATTTCCTTTTGTTTTTGTGTTCGACCCGATAGAACGTGACGTGCTCAAAGGGTTGGTGTCCCGAATCGTTTGCTTGGATCTCTTTCCGAGAGTTGGTGGAGTCAGCACGTATATAGTGTCTGTTAAATCGTGAGTTTAAGTTTTCAAGATTGATTCTTGCGTTTGTTTTCTTTTCCGTTTGCTTGTTTGTTTTCTCTATCTTTTCCTTTTCTTTCTTTCTTTTTTTTTTTATATTACAGATTTGTTAACTCTTTTCAATATTTAAGTTAAAGTTTTCTAATATATTTTTAAAAAACATGTTTAACTGTAGTCAATCTTGTAAACAGTACGCTAGTAAATCAATTTTAAAAAGCAGAAAAATGTGCGATTGATTTTGAAACAATTTTAAAAAACAGAAAAATGTGCGATTGGTTTTGAAACAATTTTAAAAAGCAGAAAAAAAATGTGATTGGTTTCGAGTTAAGATTTAAAGATTGATTCTTGCTTTTGTTTTCTTTCCATTTGCTTTTTTGTTGTCTCTATCTTTCCTTTTCTTTTTTTTTTTCCCCCGCGGATTTGTTAAATGTTTTCACTAATTACCTTAAAAAAAGATCCTTTTAAAAAACATGTTTAACTGTAACCAGTCTTATAAACAGTACACTAGTTAATGAATTTTAAAAAAAACAGAAAACAAATGTGGTATTGGTTTCGAGTTAATGCAATAATCAATCT